CTGTCTGGCGGCCCCCCCTCGCCCTCGCCGCCGTCGGTGCCCGCAGCTCGCGGGGCGCTGGCCGGGGGCTCACCTGGGGGGGCAAAGCCGGGGGGTGGAGGGGGGACAGGGCACCCTGAGCCCGTGGGGCGAGGTGGGGGGATGCATCTCACCTCCGTCCCAGGGGAAGTAGAGGCTGAGGATGGAGGTGCAATAGTTGCACAGGTTCTGCAGGGACTTCAGGTGCTGCTGCAGTTTCCCGTTGGGCAGCTTCGCCTTCAGGAGCGGCGCCAGGCGGCTGAAGACGAAGGCGTCGAGGGAGGCCGGCCTGGGGCACAGAGACCCGCGACTGGGTCACGGTCCCTCCTGCCTCCTCCCGCCGTCCCCACCCGAAGCCACCCTGTGCCCCAGGGGATGGCAAGCGGCTCCTCCTCCTCCTCGGGAGGCCTCTCTGCTTCCAGCCCCCGAGGCGAGGACGGGGAGAGCGGGGTGATCCCATCCCGGAGCAGCTCTGCTGGCTCCACCAAGAGATGGGGACAGAGATGCCGGGGTTGGCGGCAGCTCCCGCAGCCTTAATTCCTGCCGCCCGCATCGCTCCGTGCTGTCACGGACAGCGCTGTCCCCTGCCAGCCTGTCCAAGCCCCAGAGAGACGTGCGCGGGCTGCGGCTTCCCCGCAGACCACAGGGTCTCGGTCCCGCCTGGCTGCGGGGGGCTCTCCGGCCCCAGAGCACCTTCCCCCTTACGGCCACCTACGAGTCTCCGAAGAAAAACTTCTGGGATCCGAGGCGCTGGGACAGGAGAGTCAGGCATTCCCGAGCATCCCGGTAGAGCTGGAGGAGGAGGAGAGAGGGTTGTCACCCACCCGGCCGACTGCCACGGCGCTAAGGGGAGCGGGAAAGGGGTGCTCAGCCAGGGTGAACACCGGACCCCAATTAAGACTTTGGCCTCGTGTGGGTCCCTCTGGGCACCCGCCGAGGACCCGCCATGCCCAGACCACGTCCCCTCACCTCCTTCTCCAGCTTCTCCTCATCCTCCATGTAGCCGTCTCCCCACAGAAGCTGCAGCCGCTCCAGGTGCTGCTTGTGCATGCAGTTGGGCAGGAAGAAGTTGAGGGGGAAGGGAATGGTTTCCGTGTACCACTTCCGCGTGAGCTCCACGTAGTTCTTTGCGTCCACCCAGAAGGTGTGGATCTGCAGCAGGGAACAATCCGTGCCCAGGCCATGGCGGGGCTGGAGCCGGCGCAGCCTTTCGCCGTGGCGGGCGCCGCGGAGCCCAGGCCTGGCGCTGCTCACGCAGGCACCACGTGTCCGGCATGGACCACGAGCGGCTGAGGGAGCATCAGGGTCAAGGCCAGACCCCAGCCCTGGCTGCACGACCCACCGCTGCCACGCAAGACCCCCAGCACCCCGATCCCTGTGCCTGATGCTCCACGTTCCCGGGATTTCGCTGCCTGCAACGCTCTCCCGGCAGACGGGCGCACACCCGCGCCCACCGGCATCGCTCCGCGGAGCCAATCCAGCCCTCGGCGAGACCGTCTTCCCCCCGAGACGTTGCCAGAGGGAGACTCACCAGCACCGGCAGCAGTTTCTCCTCCAGCAGGGACACGAAGGCCAGCGTGTCCGCCCCTTGCGTAGCCGAGAGGTCGTAGTCGGCGTTATACTTCTGCAGAGCAAACGCGACAGGCGTGATCCGGCGGGGAAGCGGCAAATCCTGCCCGTGCCTCTTGGGCGACGGTGACAAAGCCCCCTCCTTCCCAGGGGGGCTCCGGTGCCCCCCGGCCCGGGTCAGGGGGTGCCCCTCGCCCCCCATTACCTGTTTCCTGAGGTGAGTTATGATCTGCTGCGTTTTGGAGATGGTGCCCTCGTCCCGCGTCTTCAGCGCAGGCAGGCGGCCTGAGGGCAGGGAGAGGGGCGGCTGCAGGCAGCGGCGCCCGGGGTGCTGCCCTG